TGAGAAACTAATTTGTTCTGTAAACCTTCATCTAAAGCACAATAAAAAAAATTCAATGATTAGACATTCTCAAGAAATATCCATATATGAATATATATGCTTTATTTAATTTCAGTTGCTACCCTGTTTTAATATATGGGAGACTAAAAGTGTCAAAGATTGAAGATATAACGTGTACTTCTCTGCTTTAAAAATAAGATTTTTCTTCTCATTTAGAAGATTAAGCTATAGTCCTCTTTGAAAACCAGAGAATAAAGTAGACAGTTCCCCAAAACGCACCCTTCAAATTTCAGGGGTTGTTCACTTTAATTGAAACACTTGGGTGGTCTTGAAGGAATTGGGTAGGTTTTGAACAAGGTGAGTCGCTGTATATATCTGATTATCTTTTCTTTTTTCATTTATTCAAAAAATAAATTAGCACACCTTATCTACAATGAAATTCTTGTTTTAGCTGTTAACATCTAGATTCTTTGTTAGTTTCTTGGGCAATGGTATTTTTCCTTCACTTGGTTCTTGATTGCTGTATAATATAGTTGCTTGCAGTTTACGGCAGCTGCAGAAGGAGAGTGCACACAGAAGTGGTTATAGCTCTATATTTAGTAAGTCATAGGGTTTGTAAAGCATTTGCAGATTCCTTCGGGATAAAATGGTTTCTATAAATGTAACATTTTTAATGAAACTATTATTATCACCCATTAGAGAAATACAGCAATTAATCTATGTGGTTTTGTGGGCAAGACGGGGCACAAAACTTTTTTTCCCCCTCTAGAGCTCACTGAATGTTTTAAATACTTAAAATTGATCTTGTGAATCTTGTTTTTATGCTGTTAATCTTGAATTGCAGAGCTTTTACTCAAGTGTTTACCTTTGGTCCAACTTTCCGAGCTGAAAATTCTCAGAGCCGGAGACACCTGGCAGAGTTTTATATGGTAGAAGCAGAAATTTCTTTTGTTGAGAGCCTTCAAGATCTCATGCAGGTAGGTACTCAAGTTTTAAATACCAGGCATCTACGACATTAAAATGCTTCTGTATACATTCCTACCTCAGACACCTGTGCGTTATAGGTACTCAGAGTGAAAGAAGATGAAGAATGACTGAAACATTTACTGTACCTTTAGTGTAATAATTAAAAGTACGAAAGTCAGACAGATTTAAGTTCTTATATCAGCTGTGCCATCAGCTTTGCTCTGAAGTTACCTAACCTTCATGATCTTTAGCCCCTCAAGTATAAAATGAGAGTTAGAGTACCTGTTCTATAAGGTTATTGTGATGATTAAATGAAATAATGTAGATAATACACCTAGTATGGGATATGGCACATAGCAGGCTCAGTAAATAGTAGCTCTTTGTATTCTTGTTATTTGCTAGGCAAATAAATAAAACATCTTTAAGCTGTATTAGAAAGCACTTGCCAGAGCTCAGTTTTGAGGGGCAAGCAATAAAGGTATAGAAGTACGAAGTCAGGTCATGAAGGACCTTGTATTTGAATGCCATGCTAAGGAGTTTGAACTTTATCAAAAAGGTAGAAGAGAAAGAGTTTGGAAAGGTCATTGTCGGAGTTATATTTTAGAATTATATTTAGCAGCAATATGAAGAGCTGTTTGGAGGGGAGGCTGTGACCATAATCCATAGAAAGCCCATAAGCTCTGGAGTTGGTTAAACCTGAATTTGAATCTTAGTCTGTCACTTGCTACGTAACCGTAGACAAGGGATTTGATTTCTCTGAAGCTCAGTTTCCTCATCTATAAAATGGGAAT